CTTCACTGAGAGGGCAGTCAGTCACTGGAACAGGCTCCCCAGGGAAGTGGTCATGGCACCAAGCCTGTCAGAGTTCAGGGAGTGTCTGGATGACACTTACTCACATGATTTCATTTTGGAAATCCTGCAAGTGGCCAGGAGTGGGACTTAGTGATCCTTATGGGTGCCTTCCAACTCAAGATATTTTGTGATTCTATGATTTATATGCTGTGCATTTAACAGAGATTTTAATTTCGTTTTCTGGAAAAATATTATGACATATATCAGAGAAATGCTGGTCATGATTCCTTCTAGCCCTGGCTAATGAGACATCTGGATTCTGTAACAAGCACTGTGGAACATTATGTGCCAGTGTTTTGGGCAATTGCCTCCAGGGGACTAGAACATTCTCTTCCCCACTCACACTTTTTTGAAGCATTGCTTCTCAATGTGTAAGGAGCTCAGGATTCAGCTGAAGCACAAATGAACAGGGAGACAGACAGAAATGCTAACTGGTTGTAAGTGAAATGCAGTCTAAATTGCTCTAAAAGAAAAGTTAGGTTTTTTGATTGCTCTGAAGCACGCAGAATGGTCTCCAGAGTGGAAAAACAAGCGGTACTTTTGTTAGATGCCTGTCTTGTTTGAAATGCTGATCACTGTGAGTAGAATCAAGATGGAATTTTCTTTTGCATCAGACTAGCAGGAATTTAGGATTTTTTTTCTTGTTTTCTGTGTTAAATTCCATATGGTTTACTTTCTAGAATTTTCTGACATGACATTCATATTTCCTTACTGTTACAGCATAATGCTGGTTTATTTTCAGTGTGACTCATCTTACCACCTCACTTATTCCATGGATCCACAAACAGCTGTATGGAAATGAGAAGGAAATATAGGGCTATAAATGAGTAGCTGGAATGAAGGTGATAGAAGTGTATCCTCAATCTCTCCATCTTTGCACGTGCGCAAGGTTTAGCCTCCTTGGGCCTAAAGGAGCTTTAGTTTAGTGTCTTTAAAAGTGTCTGGATGAAATATAATGCCCTGCAGTATACAGGGAATAAATTAAATGACCTGATTGTTCTTTCCAGATAAAAACCTCATGAGACTCTATAGAGGTGATAGTTCATCTGGACTTTACCTTCTCCCTCAGGCTGCAAGCTTCTTTATTGGGAAGGACAGTTTAAGGAGTTGTCTTCTCACTTTCTTTTGTCCCTTACAGCCCTCTTTGCTACAACCATACTTTTTTTTTTTTTTTTTTTTTTTTTTTTTTGGCCTATACTGGTTTTGTTGATTGTATGGGCGTGGGAGGCATTAAAAGAGTAAGAGTATGTTCACAGTCTGGGCAGTGTAGAGGTGAGGCATGAGTAGTTGTTCTTGGGAAAGGATGGTGGTTCATATACTGCTTCTAGCCCAAGAAGTCATAGCAGCTAGTTGCTTTGTGTTGCCAAGAAGTGTCCCAGAGAAAACTGACTGAAGAGAGAGGCAAGACGTGTGATTGCAATTCATCTTTTACATTCTTACCCAGAGACCTAAGACATACTGTGTTTGGAGGGGATGCAGTTTGAGTTGGGAAAGGAAGAGGAAAATCTTGGGAGAGGGGGGAATGAATTCCAGTTTTAGAACTGCTTCCCAGAGTATAGATGTGTACAGGGGGGTGTTGAGGGCCATGTGTAGCTGATGATAGAATTCTCTTTTCTGCCTCAGAAGCAATTCTTGCATTTGCAGAGCAGCTTTCCTCAATATATCAACGAAGCATAAATGGATACATTTCCATATAGATTTAAATTGTATGTCTAAGAATTGTGAATCTAAGAAATTGTGTAATCTGCCTTTCTGGATCTTGTGAACTCAGCATTCTGTTGCAAAAAAACACCAAAGATTTGCATTCTTTCTATCCCTTGGCCTATGGACCTGCCCACAAGAGGGAATGAACTGGATTTAGTGTGTACTCTCTGAAGGGTTTGTGGGATGATGGAGGGTGAAATTGCTACCTTGAAGAATGGAATTCCTGTTTGAAAACAGTCATTGTGTGTGGGAGGAGAAAAATAAATTGACAAAGGAGATCAGTTTGAAAGCGAGCAGTATGTCAGACCTGGTGGCTTGGGAAAATAAATTACACAGTCTATCTGCAAGATCTGTTGATTGTATACAGGGAGAAGGTGGTTAAGCTGATTTTCCTGGGTAGTGTGACAGGGCAGAGAGAAGTTATAATAGAAAATTAACCCTGATAAATAAGGGCTGAATAGAGGATTGATTGTAAAATGCAGCCAGGTGCAATACCTGAATTACAGCTAAATAATCTTGATATAAAAATAGCACAGAAACAAGTCTTAAGATGGCATGTGCCACACAAAGACACATCCTTTACTGATGAAGACTTTATAGTTTGTCTGATGTTGTTGCTTCCAAATTACTCCAAGTTTCTCCCCTGATAATTATGCCTCATAACCCTTAGGTTGAGGATGGAGAAGGGAAAATGATTAAGCTTCTCTCTTTAGTTTTTGTACTAATAATTTGTGATGTATTTTGAAGGTGTGAATCGAAAGTAGATCTTAGTTTTCTTTCTCCTTAATTTTCAATAAACATCGCTCCGAAGACTTCAGAGCTATTGCTTTGAGGGTTAGACAATCAGAGGAGAGTCGATCACTGTGTGTACTTGTGGTGTGCATATGATGGTATTTATGTGTGCTTACTGTTAAGATTCAGCTGGATGGCCTATATATAAACAGCTATTGTGTAATTAAGGAAAATCAAGTAATTCTATTAATGTATAGAAGCTAAGAGGTGTGGAATAATTGTGAATTATGCCAGTTTCAGTAGAAGGAAGACTTGCAATATTTTCTTCCTTCTTTACCTAACCTCTTTTTCTTGTGGGTTTCCCCAGCATGCAGTTTACTGGTGGTGAACATTTAGCATAGATGAATTAGTATTTTTGCCTGTATCCAAATGAATCTTGAATAAAAATTCAGATAGTTCTATTTAAGGCAAAGTCTTGGGAAGAGACAAAATAGACTTTCCTCAGTTGTCTTCGGAAACACAAAGGTGAACGTGTGTTATTTCAGCAGAATAAATCTTGCATGGTATGGTAAAGCTGTAAGAAGTGGAAAACCATGTAAGAAATATCTCTGCCACCTTGAAATTAACTTTGTTGCTGACTTTGTGCAAATCACCTCTAGGTAGTAGCCAGTCACCCTTCTTGCCTCTTGTTCTCATCTCATATTGCTACTAGTTCTATTTGTAAATGGATTGCTGTAGCTTTAAAATACATTAATATTATCACAGTTAAATATAGTTTGTCTACACCTACAAGGTAGTAATCTGCTTAGGGTTCTGGTTCTTTTCATATTCTGTCTTTAACAATGCTAAGCAGGTGGCTGGCACTTAGTAAGTAATATGACATCAGGCAACAACTTCCTCAGAGTAAATGATGTCTGAATAACAAACACTGCAAGGTCTAAACCAGCTTGTCTCATCAATCTGACCTTGAGTTCTCACTTGAAAATATTTGACAATGCTGCTCATATTTTAAAAAATGTGCCTATTGGAGGTATCTTTATAACTGAAATAATTTCTAGCTTTCTATTGAACTACCACTCATCATGCACAGCAACGTCATTAGCACCAACCAAAAACCTGGATTGTGCTGGGCCTGACTCTGATTTTTCATTAAGATCCTTACACGTGTTTCTGGCTAGATAAAGAACTTTTATACAGTATGTAAATTACATATATCTTCACTTAAAATCTAGTATGAATATGTATAGTGATTTGAACAAGCATTAAGCATGTCATACACTGACAGAACACAATATAAATCAGTTCTTGATATAAACAAGGATCAATCCCCTTCTCTTCTGTTCTTATTATATCTATTATATTGGAGATAATTTGCTGTTTTGCTTGGATAAATGCATACATGTTTTTTTCATTTCCCTCAAAAACAGTTCAACTGCAAAAGATGCAGATGAGTGTCTTTCCTTTTGTTTGCCATTCTCCTTATTCCACTGCATTTGAGATGTAGAAATGATGCTGTGAGATAAAACTAAATTGTGTGGGCAGAAGAAAAAGGATCTGAAGAAGAGCTTTACTTCCCTGTGGAGCAGTGAGAGACTGACCTCGTGTGGTGTGAAACAAAAGTTGTCAGGGGAAATGCAAGGATAAAACTGAATAAACTGAGTATCTTTGAAAAATTATTTTTCCTCATGCATTTCTGATTTTTGTTGGATGGTGCACCACTTACATTTAAATAATATTAGTTTGAATAGTTTGTAATGTGATTGCTGATAAGAAGTTGACCAGTGTCTGTATTCCCAAAGACTTCTTTATGTCCTGAAAGGGATGCTTTAACAAGCTGACCCCAAGACAGCAGGCTAGGAGCTGAGGCCCAATTATCCTGGCTGCTGCCTGTGCGTGATTTTAATTGAAATGAGTAGGAGTTTCATGTGAGCAAGTGACAGAATAATCAGTCTTGGTTTCTAAGCCCTTTCTGGCACTTCCCCAGCAGCATGCTCATTCTGTGCCTTCACAGCCTTGCTCTGTATAATGAAGACAGTGGTTAGGAAAATTATGAAGTGGTACCATGTAGAATGGGAAGGGTGTTTCTAGCCTGTATATTTTTTACAAGCATGAATAATATTAATAGTGGAAACTTCTGAGTCAGTTCTGTTGGCCTGATTCATCAGTATATGTGGAAGCATCCAGGTATATGGATAACAAAAGGAGGTTCTTTTATTTTGAAAAGTCTCCTTTTTTAAATAAGTGACGTGCATTTAGTTTTAAATTATTGAGGATGTAATGTGGCTTATGGACTCTCACAGAAAAATCTGCTTTAAAATCCTGTGGGCAATTCAGGTGAACTTTTAAAAACTCTGTCCCCATCCTGCAAAGACTTATCTGTGTGCTTAATTATACTCTTTCTGTTCTTTATGTTGACTTAAACATCTGAAATAACAAAGGCCTGTAGTATTTTCTACAAGTACTCTGAGTTCTACATGACAAACCTTCCATTTTCTTCTTTGCAGATCCTCTTGGAACCAGGGGTGATACAGGATGTCCTAGCAGCTGGGAGTCATTTGCAGCTGCTGGAGCTTCTCAGTTTATGTTCTCACTATCTCATTCAGGTGAGGCTTCTCTGCCTGATCATCAGCCATTTCTGTTTGGTAAACTTCTGTTTCAAGCCTAATTTCAGTAGGAGAATGTTAGTACAATACGTGGTGTAACCTAAGTGGCAATAAACTGGATTTCAGGAGACCTGAATTTTGCATGTAATTTGGATATCAGTTTTGTGGTAGATGCTTTCTCCTGCCATCCGTTTTATCTATTTCAGTCCTGAAAACGAAGGATGATCCACTGATTAGTATCAGCATATGGGAGTTTGATTACCTCATTTACCACAGAATTAGCTTTCCTCTGCCTCAGTTTACCAGATGTTAAATGTTACCCTATTGTGATCATGAGTATTGTGGAGCATTCAGATGCATAAGTGTTCACAACAGAATATTGATGTGTATTCTAGGGCAGAACTATCTCTCACTGCAAGGTTAGGACTTATACAAGGGCACCTTATTCTCAACTGGCCTCATGCCCATAATGCTGATAATAATATTGACATTAGGGCTGTCATTATGAAGTAAAAAATCTGAATCCAGTAAAATAACTTTTTGTGCTTGGCTTGTATAGGAGATGGCTTATGATGGTAGCAAGAACATAGCCTTGATGTGTATCTATGAAAAGCCAATAAGGCTTTTTAATAAAAAAAAAAAAATGGTAATTGCAATTCTACAGAACTGTTTCCTTTTCTTTGTAGTTTTTCAGTATTATTTCTGAAATAGGGCGCACTGGCTGTATCTGTGCAACAGTTGGGCATGGAAATGCTCGTCAGCACAATCCTCTCCATATGCACTTGCCTTCCAACAGCATAACTGCCTTTGAACAGTCTGAGTGTGCCTGGCAGCAGACTGAGCTACTGAGTACTGTCAGCACGCAGGATCTCATGCTAAGAGCTTCAGGATGTACTTGAAGGGTCTGTGTCTTGCGGAGAAAGAATCTGTTCTTTGAGTGTTAGCCATAGGGAAGCATTTAAGATGTATCTTCAGATAATAAGGTGGTATTAATTTGTGCATTATAAGTTGATTAGAAAGTTAAAGGAGCTGATGGAGTACTGCAATTTGTATCAGTTTGTTTGCAGGAATGCAAGGAGGAATTTATTTTTTCTGAGAAAGTAGGCACAGAATGTAATGGGAAAGGTGGATGGTTTGAGGAATAAGAAATGTGAGATGCCAAAAAACCCACAAAACCATTTGGCCTACCAGTTGTCAGGCAGTCAGGGGAAGGGGTAACCATAATGAGAAGGAAGATACAAGTCTAACATTAATAGCCATACAGTGTATTTAATGCCCCCCTAACAAATCAGTGTGAGCATGTCTCTGCTGCTTACATGCTCTGTCTTTGTCAGAAATGGAACCGTAGAGACTATTGCAGCAAAGAAGGTAGGGCATGTGTTAAAGAGTAGGGAAGAAGCTGAGTATTGTAGCGTTGGTGAGGTAGGGACATGAGAGGGCTGTAGGAAAGGAGCAGGTACATGCCCAGTGTGAGTCTTTGCACTAACTTCTTCCATGTCCTGTGTTCAGTAGCCTCTGGTATTTGTGGCAATTCCCTCAGCACCCTCTTAATACTTTTAATCCCAAGGTCACTGCAGTGGAAAGACAACTGTAGAATTATCGGTGCTTTGGATCTCATCCTTGATTTTCAAGCCATAGTCAATTATTTAGGAACAGACTGCTAATGAATTAAAAAAAAAAAAAAAAAATATCAACCCCAGAACCACACCACCCCCTCAAAAATAACCCTGGAGTGAGCAAACATCACTGCCAAATTACTCAGACCACTAAAATTCTCTGGAGGTGATGGTCAGTATGCAGTTAGTCAAATGATGTGAAATAGTTCTGTTGCACTCAGAGTAGTGTGCCAAGGTAGGGTAACTAGAGCTACTCTGGTGTTAAAAGGAAGAGGAAGAGTAGGACCCAGTGTCCAGATTTACAATGATGGAGGTAGGGAATAAGGTAGAGGATTAAGGGTAGGAAATAAGGAGGAGACAGAGAGCAGTGGTAGTTCTGTCAATATTTTTGAATCAGGGACTCATTGTAAGGTTCTGAATCTGCATTAACCTCCGTGGGATGACTGTAGCTTACAGCATGTTGGGCTCTAGGCTGTATTTTACTCTTCATATAGTATTTTTGTACCAGGTTCACCCCAGCAAAGCAAATCTTGTAGCCAGATTTGCAGTCTGAATAGATCACAGTAAGAATTTATCTGTCTTGCTTGTTCTGCAGTGTTGGAGCCCATGCAAGTAGTCAACCTTGAGTAGTTGTGTAAGCTTTTTTTAGCAGAGGTCAATAAGGTACTATGCTAAGACTGTGATATATTTCAGAGTCCAAATTAATTATATCAAATATCTGTTCTACATGCTAGTGGGTGATTTTAAAAATATCTATTGTCCGCTTTTAGTACTACCTAAAAATAAAATCAAAGTAGATAAAGAAGGCCTCCATAAAGCCACTTATCCTTGCTGCATTTGGTAACTGGGGTGTCATACCACCCCGCGTGCTAGGATACAGATGCTGGGAAGAGAATAACGCTAACCCTTTCTCATCTTTTTGTTAAGTCTGAGTGCTGCTGAGTTCTTTATTTACTGCACTAGTAAATTTCTTTCTTGCTGTTTTGAGTTGTTCAGATATCATGAACTTAGCTTAACTTAGCATAAATTCAGAAAATATAGTATGTAGGATCTAGCTGTCATTTATTATTGTTGTGTAACGATGACACAGAGTCTTAACTTGTTAGGACCTTTTTTAATTATTTGGATTGGAATAGGCTTTTCCCATATGAGAATGATGTTCTTGTTATTAGAGCTTGTTCCAGCTCTTCTCTTTCTCTAGATGTTCCAGCTTGTCAGTTTTTTGGAACTCAAGAGATGAAACTGTCTTGATACTTTTATTTGGGGCCTGTAATTATTCCATGGATTTTAATAAGGATTTTTTTTGCCACAAATGCAAATGGTGTGGTCCATATGCATATCTGTTTCAAGGCACATTTGTAGTCTGTGAGGTTCCAAAGAAGACTGTACTGATCTAATTTATCGAAGATGATTGTTGAAGTTTCTAATTGTCAAAGATCATTTGTAGTATACTGCGGTCAGATTCATTTCCAACCATCATTGAATTTTATATTCACTGATCTTTAAGGAATTTCCTCTCACTTGTCTCAGAATAAACAAAATGTTATTTTGACTATAAGACAGATCCTCTTTCTTATAGACCAACCAGCTTAGAGCACGTTAATTTGTTCATAAATATAAAAAAGATTTCTGTAACAAATTGTTTGAATCATGATTATGGCATTTTTATGAAGATTTTTTGATCAAAGGAAAGACAGAAAAAAGGAGAGGAACATTCTTTCCTCCCCACCCCCAATTAGGTAATATCCATCTCTAATACATTTATGATAGCATGACACAATGGAGGTTTCTGACAACACTGATAGTTTACTAAATGTATTTTATCATCTATAAACTTCACATTATTATATGTTCTATAGCATCTAATGTTGATTCCATTTTCTCATTGGAAAACTCATTCTCATTTTGGATGGATAACTTATTATTTTTATTTTAAAAGAATTATAGAACATATTTTCTCTACTTGCAAAGAATAGAAATGCCCAAGCATTCCTTACTTCAGGTCTTAATTCCTGCTTTGTGTTATGAAGACTTCTCCCCACACCTCAGCAGTGTCATATCTTGAATTATGATTACTCCCCAGTCTATGCTGTTTGGGGGCTTTGTTTTTAGCATCATTTCTAGAGGAGGACTTTTTTTGAAGCGTGCTGATGTATTTTATTTGAGATACATACATATTAATGAGTCTTTCTGATCATGTCGTCTGCATAATTCTCAGGTACTGTAAACGTTGAAACAATGCTTGAAATCTCACACATCCATTTCAGCCTAAACAAATGGTAAGGCAATGTGATTGCTGCTAGGTAGGTGTGGGAAAGCTAAACTGAAGACTTGAGCTTTGTGCATCTTGAATTGCACAACGGTCCGTGATCGCACACAAGGCATTTCCTTGCAGAGTGCACATCCAGTTCTCTGACTCCTGTTTCGTGAGTTCCTCTTCCAGCTTGCATTGATTGTCAGCTTTGGCTGAGATTTTTCAAAGGAGGCAGAGAGCTGCAACCAGCAGGTAGACTTTGAAATATAACGGGAATGGGTTATCTGATTGTCTTGGTTCCCTTTTAAAAATTTTAGCCTTTAGAGTTCCAGTGGAGCATAACTGTCCTACTATGACATTGGAGAAGGCAAGAGAAAGCTAGTTGCAGGTGTCGAATGTGATGGAGATCTGAGAATGGACTTCTTAAATGCAGCTGTAGAGAACATGATATTAGGTAGTGTGTTTGTGATGACCTGTTTTGCACATTCAAGCTTGTAAAAGTTTTTGACGGATACATGAGAACTTTATTCTTATGGAAGAGAATAAATGTGTTAAAAGATTTATTCAGAACATAGAAATGTTTGTTTCATAAATACGTCTGAGTTACATAACTGATTGTAGATGTAAGAAGCTTTGTCTTATTCCTCAGCTGTTTGTATATTCAATACCAAAGAGAGCCACAAACTGGAAATTATTTCAACAGTCAAAGAGCCTTAATAAGGAGGGAATGCTATTGAGAATGAGTTTTTAATGGAATTTCCTTCTACTGATCAGCATCAGCTTAATATTGTGTGGATATAGCTTTAGTAATCGTCTTTTAAACCAGAGGTTGATTTCCGCTGGCATTCAGGGACCTGGGACGTAAGACTGTCCATATTTGGAATTCTAAAGCTAAATGATTTTTCTGTATTTTCTAAAGTCCAGTATTACTGTTTTCAGTAGAGTTCTACATACGTCCTGAGTTACATTCAAGGTAGTAGGGTGGTAGGTGTGAGCGAGGCATTTAGAAGTTGCAGAACTGTCCAAACCACCCACTTGTTTCTGAGAGACAGGACATGGCATGATTGCAAGAATTTACCCCTTTAACTTTCCACTGCCAGATCAGGCACAGTTTGTGAGGAACAAATTAA